ACCTTNTTCCCCTATCCAGGCAATGCGGACGGGTCAAGAGGTTCCGGAAGTAGGCACGGTCAAGATGTCGTGGATCTCTGCGCCCTCTGCTGCCGGTGCCGGTGCTGGTGCTGGGGCCTCTTCGCCCGCCTTGGCCTCATCGTCTGGCGGTGACGCCCCCGATTCCGCCGAAGCCGATGCAGATGATGGTGCAGCGGGTGGAGACGAAGAGTACGAAGATGGCGACCGCGACTCGAGCTGGAAGCGGTGATCCCCCCCCCCCCCCACCTCCCTCTCCCCTTTCTCTCTTCCGGGATCGCGCGCGCATCAGTCCTTCTAGATTAGGCCATCATCGTCACACCAACGATCCATGCACACCCCGTCCTCCTTCTCCTTGGCTCCCACCTTTTTTGCCGAATCTTAAGATCAAAGCTGCTTCGAAGCAGCGGCAGCGACGGACCCGCCTTTTGCCGTCTTCTCATCTACCCTCTTCGATCTGTGAGAGCTGCGTCCCGATCCAGGCGCGTTTCCACGAACGCTCAGTCCGAGACGAGACGAGACGAAGCAGCGAGCGGTACACGCCATCGAGCAGAGCTAGTACGCCGTGTGCTCCGTCGATCAGTGACCGTTGAGAAACTCGGAATAACGAACGGGTCGACGGCTCGTGGCCGCACCCATTTCAGCGTCGTCGTCGTCGTCGTCGTCGCTCAAAGCAAGCAGCGGGGCGTGGTGCAGCGAGGCTGGATTGCTTCGGTCTGTGCTGTGCTGTGCTGCGTCTCTAGAGAATTTCAGCGGGCAGACTGAGACGGGCGGACAGGCGGACGGGGGAGTGCAGACGCGCCGGCCGGTTACGCGTTGTACATCTCCTCCTTGAGCTGGATGCCTGTGTGTGTGTGTGTGTGTGTGTGTGTGTGGGTGATGGAAAGCAGAGAAGGGGGGAAGAGGAGCGACCAGCGTTCAGTTGCTTGCTCGTTGGCTGCCTCCAGGACGAGCCGAGAAGGTTGCTGAGAGGGGGCGCGCGCGCGCGAAGGGGCTGCTGCGCTGCTCTCTACCACGACGACGACTCACCGAGCTCCTCCCTGACGCCCTTGAGGGCCTCGACGTACTGCTTGTACTGGCCCTCGTTCTCGACCTTCTGCTTGATTCCCTCAAAGACGCGGACGGCGGTCGAGTAGTCGTTGACGCGGCGGGATGCGCGGAGGGCCGACTCGATGACCTCGGGCGAGGGGACGAGGTCGTAGGCGAAGCAGTTGTTGAGGCCGCGCTGCAGCTCAAAAAGGTCCTCGACGGCGTCAAAGAAGCCGACGTAGCGGCTGTTGAAGGCCTCGAACGACTCCTCCTCGTGGTGGGCGGCGTAGAAGCGGACTGCGCGCGGGGTTTCCGGGCGACGGCGGGGCGGCGGGCAGGGAGGCAAAGGATCAAGTCAGCGGGTGGTCACGAAACGGGGAGGTGCGAGAGGATGGGGCGATGATGGCAAAGCGGTGCAGGCCATGAGGGCGGACTCGGAAGCCAGCCGAAGAGCCATGGCTTCGCCGTGAGTCTGCACTCGAGGCCGGCCCATGCCGGGACAGGCCCTAGACGACGTCGAGCATCGGCTCGGCCCGGGCCCGAGCCGGCCATGGCAGTGCGAATAGTGCCTCGCAGTCGGCCATGCTCCAAGGGCGATGGTTCGGATGTTGGGCCGCTGGCTGGATGTGCTGGGCACGTTGCGGCACTTACCCTGCTGGGCGGCAGGAGCGACGGCGCCGCGCATGAGGGCGGACCTGGCGGAAGCGCCGACGGCGGCAGTCCTGATGGCACCGGTGAGGAACGACATGGTGTGCGTGTGTGGATGTGCTGGAGGGTGTCGGGCTGAGAAACGCTGGAGGGCGGTGACGATGGTGATGGTGGAGGCCTCGAGGTCAGGACAGACTACTACTGGCTCGCGGGCTGGCTGGCTGGCTGGCTGGCGATCAGAGGTTGCTAGAATTCGAGGTGACGGACCTGGCCCGGCCTGCCTTGCCTGCCTCTCTGGCGTGGGCCGGCCAGGGCCGTCGGGTCGGGGCCCGCGAAGAACGCAGCGTCCAGCCAGGCCTGCTGGCCTGCCGGTTTCGCTTCCGCATTCGCCCAGGCCTGGGGTCGAGGGGGCGATTACAAACGGGCCTAGGCTGGCGAATTTTGATTTTCCTGATCGGCTCGGACCGGGCCTGGCGAAGCTGCCGTGCGAGAGAGACAAAAAGTCGATTTGGCCTGGCCTGGCCACGCCTCCACAACTCAAACGCAACGCAGGGTCCAGCAGGGGTGGGGAGCTTTGCCGGGCCTGACCTGGCCTGGCCTGCCAGGAAGAGAGTCGAGCGTGGGTGCTGCCTCTCTGCTGTGCTGACGCTTGACGTCTAGCTGGCCCAGACTTCCTCGGTGGGGACCTCCAGGAGACGTTGAAGCTTGCTTGCCTGCCCTCTCTCCCATCCACCACGGCTCGACCCCGCCATCAGCAGCGCCGCGCCCCCGCTACCGCATCGCCTCTTCGGTCTCGCAGCTTGGCCCATTTCGCCCTGGCTCGGCGTGGTCGCTGTGAGCCAACCCCTCCTGGCCCTCGGCTTCCTGCTCCTACCTCGCGCGATGCATACAGGATGAGCGCAGCATCGTCCGCTCCGACACCCAACGCCAGCATCTGGCCAGTCCAGCTGCGCGACGGTCACCCTCGCAGCCCGCCCGCGACAAAGCACCTCGCACCGGTCCAGCTCGACCGCCTCGACTTTGAGGACGTCTCGTACTTTTTCCACTTCCACCGCATCGCAAAGCTCGCCCGCGGCCTCGCGCTCGACGACGGCTCGGACGGGGACAGCGACCGCAGCGTAGAGGAGGTTGGACGCAGCATCGTAAAAAGCGGACGTCCATCGCAGGCCAATGGCTCCGGCGGACGAGGCACACCGAATGGCAAGGCCAAGGCATCCCGCAAGCGCCCCGCGGATCGTGCCCCATCATCCGGCACATCTTCGAGGCCCGCAAAGGCCGTCAAGCTCTCGAACGGCACATCATCCCGCTCCCCTCTTTCTCCGCTCCTCAGCGATCCGACCACCGTCCTCGTTGACACTGCCTGCATCTTTCGGGTCAAGGCAAGGTCCGCCAGCGACCGCGGCCACGTCTCCGACCTCGTGCAGGCCCTCCAAGCCGAGGGCGAACGTAGCATCAGCCTCGGCGCCGTCAGGATCGAGGTGGAAGGCGAGCAGCGGCTGGGAAACAGCATCATCAGCCATGTCGCCACCCTCCGAGCCTCCGACTCTGGCGTGGAGCTCGCCACCTTGCCCCTGCTGGCCACCGACAGCTTTCAGCCCGAGATGCGCCCGGACCAGTTCAGCAATGGCAGCTGGATCCCGGCAGCCCGCACTCTATGCTCGGCCGGCGAGCTCGACCTTTCTGCGAGTCTCCGCATCTTCGAACCTCCGCCGCAAAAGCATCGGACGGAGCGTGCCGAGGCTGCCTCCCTCCACGTCGAGCTGCGCATCAAGATTGCCGTGCCGCTCAGCGCCGGTTCCGGTGCAGGGGCGCTGAGGCCGGCAGTCATAGAGGACATGGCCGAACTCGTCCGCTTCGCCGATGCCCTGGGTTCCGAGCGCGACGAAGTCGACCGTAGGAAGAAGGTCAATGCCCGGCTCGTCATGGATCATCTGCATCCCGCCGAGCTCGCCGTTAGCGACCATATCCAGCCTCCCGACCTCAACCCGACGCTGATGCCTTTCCAGCGACGCTCGACCGCATTCATCCTCGGCAGGGAGGGCAAGGCGATCGGCCAAGACGGCGCCGTCGAGGACACGGTGGACGTCATCTCGCGGACCGGCAGCCGCGAGGTCGGTCTGTGGTGGAAGAAGATAGACGACGGCCTCTTCTACCACTTTCTCGAGGGCCGCTTCGTCGCCAACGCCGATCTGACGCGCTATAGCAACCTCCGCGGCGCGATGCTGGCCGAGGAGATGGGCCTTGGCAAGACTGTCGAGGTCATCGCCCTGATCCTCCTCAACCCGAGGCATGGCGTGTCGTCGGAGCGCAGCTGGTTCGACGCCGACAACAGCATCGAGGTCCACCCGACCAAGACGACGCTGATCGTCGCACCCGAGACGCTCCGCCAGCAGTGGGTCGACGAGCTGGCGCGTCACGCGCCCGAGCTCTGCGTCTACTCGTACACCAGCCGCCAGGACGCCGAGAACGACACGCCGCCGGGGCAGACGTGGGTGCAGTGGGCCTCGAGCCTCGACGTCATCGTCACGTCGTTCCATGTGCTTGGCCTCGAGCTGACGACGGCCAAGCCGGAGCCCGAGCGGTCGCGCCGCCACCCGAGAAAGTACGAGAGGCCGCGCAGCCCCCTGATCCGCCTTCACTTCCACCGCGTGGTGATGGACGAGGTGCAGATGGTCGGCAGCCAGACGTCGGCCGCCGAGACCGCGGCCATGCTGCACCGGGGCAGCTCGCTGGCCGTGTCCGGCACGCCCGTCAAGAAAATCGACGACATCAAGTCGTGCTTCCGCTTCCTTCGCATGCCGTGCTGCTCTGGCACCTTGACGGCCCGGTCGTGGGATAAGATCCTCTCGCCGAAGCTCGCTCCGGCGCTCGTCGCCGTGATGGAGACGATCGCGACGAGGCACACCAAGGCTGGCGTGGCGCACGAGATGACGCTGCCGACGCAGACGCGCAGCGTCGTCCCAGTCGACTTTACCGCCATCGAGGCCGCCTTCTACGCAGACGTCTGGAAGGACGCCCTCTCTGCGGTGGGCATCGACAGCGACGGAAAGCCGCTGCTGCCGAACTGGCAGCTCGACATCAACGTCCTCGGCCGCCACCTGCTGCTCCTTCGGCAGGCGTGCACGCATCCGCAGGTCGCGGTCCACGGGCGCGGCGGCGGCGTCGCCGGCAGCCAGAACCTGCGCAGCATCGACGAGGTGCTCGAGCTCATGGTCGACAGCACCAAGGCCGAGCTGCAGAGCATGCGCGGGCAGTATTTTGACCGGCGGATCACAAAGGTGATCCTCTCGCTCTACTATCGCGACGAGCGCAAGCACGCCGTCGCCGAGGCCCAGATGCTCGACCTGGCAAAGGAGCTGCGCAGCGAGGCGGGGCGGCTCGAGGACGACCTGAAAGCCACGGACGTGCAAGGGCCCCTGTACAACTTCAGCGACCGTGAGCTGGAACTCGAGGCCAAGGAGGCGAGCCGACAGGCGGCGCTCGGCCCTTCGCACCGCGACGAGGACGACGATCGGCTGTCCGGCGCCCACGGGGCGGTGTCTGCAGGCCAAGGCAGCTCGCCAGAGTGGCAGAGTCTTTGCGCGGATCCCGCTTACCAGGAGAAACGCAGGCAGAGATCGGCCAACCACGCGCGCATCAGCCACGTGCTGCGCCTCGTCTACCTTAGGCTGCACCGCGTCCTCCAATTCACCGGCAACCTCTACTTCCAGATGGGCGAGTTCGTAGAGGATCGCGAGTCGAAGGAGACGGCGAACGCTGCCAAGGTCAAGGACGTCGACGCCGAGCCCCAAGCTGAGATCACCATCATCAAGGGCGAAGACGGCACCACCCTCGCTGCGAAACCCGGGACGACCCGGGCCGATGATGAAGATGCGCCGGAAGTTGGCAAGGCGGGCGAAGTCGATGAGAAGGCGCAGCCCGCGCCGACGGAAGCGGAAGCAAAGCGTGCAGAGCTCAAGGCGAAGGAGGACGCCGCCTACGAGGCCGCGGAGCGAATGCGCCAGAAGATCCTGAGCGAGCAACGTCTGCGGGTAGAGCATGCCGTCGAGAGGCTCGGACGGTCTAAGGTCGATTTCGGCCTGGCCCAGATAAAGTGCCGCGCCGACCCCGTCCTCGAGGATGGCGGCGGCATCACCACCGGCGACCTCATTGATGCCCTCATCGAGACGATGGACCTGCTGGATCGTCAGGCCCGGGTGATCTTTGAGTGGCGCAAGGACATCCTCGACCGCCTCCGGCGCGCCGTTAACCGCGATGTCAATCTCGAGCGCGACGACGACGACCAGTACCAGGAGAACCTCGACACCCAGGCCGAGGCCGAGGTGCTGCTCGAGATGTACCGCCCGCTGCTGGCCGAGCGCGAGCTGATCATCAGCGGCACGGTCGCGGTCGGCGCCACGGCTAAGCCCCAGCTCTACGTCGAGCTCGAGACGGCCGTGAGAAACGCCCGCCGGCAGCAGCTGCTGTCGGGAATCGGCAACGGCGGCGGCGACGACGACGACGAAGACGGACCGGATGACGACGTCCTGCGCGTCCACAAGCAGCAGCTGGCTCACTTCAAGAAGCTCGACGCACAGAAGAAGGACGTCTCGCTTCCCGATCTGTCGCGCTGCCTCGGCTCGCTGCGGGCCCGGCTCAAGGAAGCGTCCGAGGGCGATATCCCCGAGGCCGAGCGCAAGCTGGCCGAAACCGCCTCGTCCGAGGCCCGCAGGATCGGCCTCGAGCAGACCCGGCTGCTGGTCAAGCTGAAGACCGAAGCGCAGACGATGCTGGGCCCGCTGTTCAATGCGCGCACGAACTTTTTCCGAGAGTTGCAGATGCTCTCGGATTCGGTGGGCGACCCGAGCTTCACCGACCTGGACCGGTCGATCAGGACCGCCGGCAAAGAGGAAGCGTCGCTGCGCGCCAAGTCCGACGCGCTCGAGGGCCGGCTGCGCTACCTGACCCACCTCGGCTCGGTGCAGAGCATCGAGGCCTCGGCCTCCGACGGCGACGACGCGCGGCGTTGCTACATCTGCACCGAAATGATCTCGACGGGCGTGCTGCCCAACGCGTGCGGCCATGTCTGCTGCGAGCGCTGCTTCAAAGAGTGGCAGGGCCAGGGCCACCGCTCGTGCCCGATGTGCAAGACGCGCGTGCTGCCCAACGAGGTGCACCGCATCGTCTACCACAAGACCAACACCACAAGCGCGGCGAGCACCAGCGCCGAAGGCAGAGATGGACGGCCCTCGGACATCGTCGGCGGCGCCGAGTACCGCCTCATATCGGCCGCTCACCGCGACCAGATCGACCGCGGCAGCGTCAACGGCCGGTACGGATCCAAGATCGACCTCGTCGCCAAGCACATCCAGCATCTTTTTACCACGCGCGGCGAAAAATCGATCGTCTTTTCGTCCTTCACCCGCGGCCTGGACGTCATCGCCCAGTCGCTGACGGCCAACGGGCTGCGCTTCATCCGCATGACGGGCGCAGGCAAGGTGGCGTCCAAGGCGGCGGCCAAGTTCCACGAGCCCCAGGTGGCGGCTATGCTGCTGCACTCTGAGGCGCAGTCTTCGGGCCTCAACCTGACGGTGGCGTCGCACATCCACATTCTCGAGCCCTTCCTGGACCGCAGCGTCGAGGCCCAGGCGCTCGGCCGCATCCACCGCATCGGACAGACAAAGGAGACCAACGTGTGGGTGTACAAGGTCAACGACACCGTCGAGGGCCGCATCCTCGACGCCGCGGCAAGGAGGGGAGAGAGCTTCTACCTCGTCTCACAGCCGTCGTCGGCCGCCACTTCCTCGACGGGACCGGCAAAGTCGCTCGAGACCGAGGAGGGCGCCGTGGCCAAGTTCCGGCCTGCGGCGACCAGGGGCAAGAACAAGGAGCAGGGGCTGCGCGGCGATACGGCCAAGAGCCGCGAGGAGCTCGTCGAGGTGTTTTCCGACAAGCTCGCCGCGCGGCTCGGCGGTGAGGGCCAGGCAGACGGCGCCACGGGGGAGAATGGCGGCGAGGGCAGTGTTGGCTGGCGGGAGCGATTGATCGAGGCAACCTCATCCAGCAGCAGCTGCGGGGGCAGCAGCAGCGTTGGGGTCGGCGGGTCCGGATCGAGCAGCTTCCTGACTACGCCCGCGACGACGAGCGGCGTGGCGTCGCGCCAGAGCGGCGACTCGTCCACCACCTCGGGCGACGAGCAGGCGGAGCGTCAACGGGCACTGCGGCTGGCGGCCATCGAACGACGTCTCGGCGGTATCGGCAGTGGTGGTGGTGGTGGTGGTGGTGGTGGGGCGGGGGCGGTGGAACCGTGAGCCACAGACGAACGCCGCGCTTGGAATCGAAATCGACTTCCATCTCCGTCCTGGCATTCTGCTTCCCCTACATCCTCCTTGCGCTACGCTCCGTCCCTTGACATTTCCCTCGCACCTCCTCCTACCTACCTCCTCACTCACTCGCCACCCTCCCTTTCAAGTCGGTCGAACTCGAGTGACTCGGCAGCCCGTGACCCTCGGCAGGGGGGGCGCTGGTACTGGATATCGTTTCTATTCAACGTCGTCGACCAAAACGGGCAGAGAAGAGGTTCGGGGTCGTGGGCGCTCGTGTGTGTGTGTGTGTGTGTGTGTGTGTGTGTGTCTGTTTTTGTCATGACGGGCCGGTTTTGCCAGGGTCGTATCGGGTGCAGAAGGGAATCAGAATCGGCACCTAGAGGAGGAAGGAGAGGTGGGCGAGAGGGTGGGGAGCGGGCAGTGGCGGGGCAACAGGGTCGAGATGGCGCGCCAGCCTGGCACGTTGTCGACAACGGCTGAGGCCGGGGCAATAGGAAAACGGCGCCAAGCGACCTCCGCTTAACCGTCAAACTTGACCGGGCGGCCCTTGAGTCCGTCGCTGAGGAGGACGACGGCGTACTTGCCCGAGATGCGCCAACCGGGCTCCTCGTTGTCGAGGCGCTGCGACACCTCGCCGGGCACGCCGACGACGACGTCCGACTTGATGGTGCGGAGCGACACGACGGGGGGCGCGCCGTCCTCGCTGGCCAGCGGGCCGATGGCCATGTCGAACGGCGTGTCGCTGGGCGCCTGGCAGTCGTAGGTGAGCTTGCGGTGGTTGAGGTCGCCCTTGAACATGACGAGGTCCGAGTCGGCCAGGTGGAGGAAGAGGTCGGGCGCCTCGGTGGAAATCGACCAGAACGTGTAGCCCGTGCACCAGAAGGGGTGCTGCTCGTAGACCCACTGGCCCTTCTTCTCGTACTCCTTCCAGCGCAGGCCCATCTGCTTAACCGAGTTGAGCTCGGCGTCGGTGCCGTGCGGGAAGAGGGAGCCGTAGACCATCGAGTTGAGCAGCCAGTCCCAGTCCTTGCGCGTCACGTCCGAGACGAACCAGGCGAAGCGCTTGCCGTGGAAGTGGATCTCGCTGGCGATGCCGGCCTGGACGAGCCAGTCGGCGTAGACGCAGTCGCAGTAGAGCTCGAAGCCGGCATTGTCGAGGACAAAGTCGATGCGGCCGTTCTTCATCGTCGAGACGAGCTTCCAGATGCGGTCGAGGTGGTTGCCCAGGATGTTCTTCTCGGTGGCGGCGAGGTGCTCGCCGCCCGTCGACTGGAGGTTCTTGATGTCCTCCTCGGTCATGTTGATGAGGAGCGACAGGTCGGTGGCGTTGCCCCACAGGCAGACCTGGGTGAGCTCGTGGAAGAGGAGCTTGCGAGCCTTGAGCTTCTCGTCTTCGTTGGCGCCCTCCTCGTAGACGAAGGGCTCGGCGAAGCGCGTCGAGAGCTCAAAGACGGCGGTGCTGCTGCGGCTAAAGGTGTCGCACTTTTGGCGGAAGAAGACGTCGTAGTCCTTCCAGTACTTGGAGATGCTAAAGCACTCGTGGAGGCGGCGGTACTTGTACGCCTCGGCAAACAGCCACGGCGCGTTCATGAAGTCCTTGCCGCGGAAGAACTTGGCAATCTCCTTGTTCCACAGCGGGATGTCGCCCTCGCCGTCGTCGATGATGGGGCGCAGCTTGGCGTTGGTGTTGAGGTCGTTCATGAGCGTCTGCATGCGTTCGATGCACTCGGCCAGGTCGACAATCTTTTCCTCCTCGTACTGCTCGTTGAGCGTCTTGACGACGTCGTCGACGGCCTTGCCCAGGATCGTGGGCAGGCGCTTGCCCATCGTCTCGTGGGCGAACGAGTACTCGTGGTAGCCGCGGTACGCGGGCCACGGCGGGTTGTTGGGGTCCACGCGCGAGGGAGTGCGCGGGTACTGCTGGCGGGAGGGTGACAGCGGCAGCCAGAGAGCAGAGAAAAGGGAGGAAGTAGGAAGCGACCGGTCAGCCCAGGCTACACCAGGCGGGGCAGGCTTGATACGGCGGCGACGGGTCAAGATGCAGCTTGCGTCGCTATTGGCGAATCCCTGACTGCCGTTGATCGCCCAGAGCCGGTCGTGGGAGCTCTCGCGGTCTTCGCACGAGGGCATGCGCGGACGCTGGATTCGACTCAAGAGCAGTCGGCACTCGACCGTCGATCTCGGAGCGCGGCACCGCCTCCAGATAACCCACGGGACAGCTCGAGTCTCGAAGGACAGAACCAGCTCCTCGCGGCGCGACTCCGAGCGTCGGGAACGCCGAAAAGCCCATCCCATCTCCACACGGCAGGCCCGGGCTGCTCGGGCGGATCCTTCCGAACTTGGAACCGGCCTAGCCCTCCGATCCCCGCATGCGATCCCTCGTCTGTCCCGCCTTACTGCCACGTTTTGCTGCCACGGCACTCACCCCTGCGTTTCCGAAGCCCTGCTTCTTTGGGGGCAGGTTGCCAAGGTTGAGCACGGTGCGCGCCGCCGGCTTGGCGGAGGGGTGGTTCCTGTCGGCCATGTTGGGCAGTCGTCTGTCTGGCTGGAGGCCGATGGTGTCGTGCGGGGGCGTGATGGCGGTCGAGGTCGGTTCGAGTCGATTCGAGTCGAGGTCGTGAACGGGTCTAGCGGGCAGGCAGGCGGGCGGCACGGCGGCGTCAGGGGTGATATCGGAAGTCGTCCGGCGATGAACGATCCAGGGGGAGTAGGGTAGGTGGTGGTGAGAGGAGAAGGCGAAGGGGGGAGCAGCGGCGGCTGTCCGGTTGGCAGACCGAGACGAGGCTTTATTCTACGAGGGGCGATGGGACGACCGACGAGCGGAGCGGAGAGGGCTCGCGCGCGCGCAAGGGCCAAGCCAGGCGGTGACGAGGGGCGAGACGAGCGGGCGGGCGAGCGAGATCTTCGATGGAGGACGAGGATCTGTGCGCTGACTGGCGCTGCATCTCATCGGACGGGCAGACGCACGGTTGGGGGCGCGGCGGCCAGCCAGGCGGGAGTTTGCTGGGGGTTCAAGGGTCGTCGACTGGGCGGGCAGGCTGGCCAGGCCCTCGCTTGGGCTCGCGACCAGGGTTCACACCCTCGCACCCTCGCAGCCTCGCACCTCGCACCCTGGCCTGCCCTAGCTTGCCAGCAGCTTCTTCTGGCAGGCTGAGGCTGGCTGGCTGGCTGGCTGGCTGGCTGGCTGGCTGGCTGGCTGGCTGGCTGGCTGGCTGGCTGGCTGGCTGGCTGGTTAGCTGCTTCGGCTCTCTTTCCGACCGAACCATCCTAGCCTGCCCACGTTGTCGGCCTATCCGCTGCTAGCTTTCCCCGACACCCAGCCTGCCTGACGGTCCCCTTATTCTGCCACAAGACATTCCCCTTCGACAGCCATCCATCCTCGCTGCCTTCAGACAGCATCGTAGACAAGCCAGGCCAAGGAGATCTGGTTGGCGGCAGGACCATCGGCGCTGACGGCCGGGTTATTGTCGCAGAGGCGGAGCGAGTTTGGGGCCCCCCACCATCGCGCCTGCCTGCCAGCCTGCGCGGCCTGGCCTGGCCATTCAGGGTCCGCAACGAGTGCAGCGCAGCGCAGGCAGGCAGCTCTTTAACTTGGCTGGCCAGGCCCTTTTCGGCGTGGCTGCGACCGAGCCCAACGCCACGGCAGCAAGAGAGGGCTGCGCGATGATGATGGGCCCGCATCTCTTGGCCAGGCCTGACCGCGGAGATTCAGTTGCCGCCGCGGGCAAGCGCCTAGCCTCTTCTTTCCCTCTGGACCCAGCCTGGCCTGGTCGGAGCTGGCACGGGGGCCGCCGACGCTCGCTTTCTTTCGGGAATCACCCAGACCATCGCATCGCATGGCATCGCCTCACCGACGGCCAGGAAGAAACAGCTAGAGAGGCGAGGCCGCGAGGGGCGACGTGTCAGGTCAAGGCGCCAACCGCCACGTCCGACGGGCCAAGCTAAGGCTCCGGCGAGAGCAGCCCACACGACGCTTTCCCTACTTCTTCCTCTTGTGTGGCACGTGCGGCGGTCGAGGCTGCTCTCTGCCTCTCTCTCGAGACGGGTCAACAGCAAGGACGGTCGAGATGCGACGGCGATGGCGCGTACGATGGATCCCCTATCGAGCAGCATCTCGAGCCGTCCATTCCTGGCGGCGCAGGAAGACGAGGCGCGGCGCGCATCCTCTTTGCGCTGCTTTGCAGGCCGGCACATACGCGCGCCGTCGGTTGCCGCGATCGATGGGATTGCATGAGCCTGCCGGGCGGCCAGCTCTGGTCGAGATCTCGCTGGCAGAGGCTCATACACCGCCACAAGAAGATCTTCCCCGACATCGCTAGGATCAGCCCTGGCCCCGACAGGCGAACGCCACACGCTATCACTGCCGTGCGATGTTTGTCAGGGCACGGCAGCTGTCGATGACGATGGCGATGTCGATGTGGCGTTGCCGCGACGGCGACGGCGATGGCGCTGGACGTTGGACCTACCTACAGCCACGGTCAGGCCACGTAGGACGGACAAGCCAGCCCCGAACAGGCCGCGCCGCCTGCTGCTGGCAAGGCCAGAGGCCTGCCAAATCCGCCGCGAAAATCTGTGCGAAATTTCATGGCCTGGCCATGGCCGTCCCAATTTGGACGGCTATCCCAGCCTTTGGCCTGCTTGCCTGCCCTGGTTGCACCATCGATGGTCGTCATGCCCCCGCCAGGCATAGTCCGGTCGAGCTGTGAGATCGACCGCACCGCCCCAGCTTCGGCGTGGGCAGGATCTGTGGCCGTCGTGGTCTGGCTGGGACCGCCAACCGGCCGCTGAGTTGGTCGAGGCAGGTGCAGGGCCCATCGGGAAGGCCAGGGGGCGGCGTCCCATCGGGATCGCGGCAGGCTGTGGCCGTCGGTGCCGAGGCAGCGAGGGTTGGCCTGCCTGCCGGCTGCATCCGTGGCGGGCTGTGTCGTTTCGTCATCGCCTCCGCACCTCGATGGACGCTCAGGCCAGGCAGCAGACCAAGGCAGGCCGAGGCGGGCAGGCTCGCTCGAGTCTGACTGACGCTGCCTGCCGGGAGCGCGTCTCACGGCGCTGTGGGCAGCCATTCCGCAACCTTTGGCTGGCCAGCAAAGGCTTAACCACCACCACCTCTGCTCCACCACCACCATCCAGCCGGCCCGCCTGCCTCGTCCATCCTACTACCAATCGCCCTCCTTTCGCAGCATCGTCGAAGAGACAACCAGCACATCGCTCGCCCAATTCCCATCCCCGTCCAGAAAGGCTCGCCAGGATGACTCTCTACTACAGCATCGTCTTTGCGCTGCTGTGCTTCGAGATGGCCATGTTCATGGTCCTCATTGTGAGTGGAAGCCAATGTTGGCGGAATGACGGCCGAACGACTCGCAGCTGACAGCGTCGGCCGCTTGTCCCTTGCTCCATTCAGGTGCCCCTTCCTTTCACCTGGAAGCGAAAGCTGTTCCACTTCCTCGCGACCAACCCCATCGTGGCCAAGGTCCAGTACGGTCTCAAGATCACCTTCATGTGCGTTGCCCTCTCGCATCTAGCCTTTCCTCAAACCAGAGGCGAACGCTCGATCGTAGGCTGACCATCTCGATGTTCTCTGCCTGCCGTTGTCCGCAAACCCTGACCCCGCTTTGCCGTGCACAGCTTCGTCGCGGTCCTCTTCGTCGACGCCGTCCAGCGGATGTACAAGGTCATGACCGAGGGCGAGACGGCAAAGGACCACCGCGGTGTCCAGGACGTCCGTACTGAGACCAACTACGCCGCTCGCAAGTTCTACAGCCAGAGGAACATGTACCTCACCGGCTTCACCCTCTTCCTCAGCCTGTGAGTAGCGCGGTGATCCCTTGTCGCAGCGGACAGGCAGGGTTAGGCCGCAGCGATCCTCCTCGTGATCGCCGGGCTGCGTTTGAGCTCGTCTGTTTCTGACCGATCGCGCCTTGTCCTCGCTCGGCTTCACGCTCGACAGCATCCTCTCGCGAACCTACTCGCTCATCCTCGACCTGATCAACACCCAGGAGGAGCTCGTCGCTCTCAAGAAGGGCGTGAGTATCTCGGACCGGCCTGTCCGAAAACGCTCTCTGGCATTCGGAAACTGACCTAACTCGACCGTGTCCACCTGACCATCCTGCGTCGATCTCCTCACAGGGCAAGGCTTCGGGCGCCAGCGGCTCGGACATTGAGAAGAAGTACCAGACCGAGATTGGTGAGTGCCGCCTAGTGAAACGGCGCTGCCTAGGATCTGAGCTCGATTCGGACAGGATGGTGGTGGTTCGGAGCTAGGATACATGCAGGGCCAGGCTGGGCTGGAATGTCTGGCGCGGCTGCGCAAGGGGCATTCTCGGCCGATACGCGAGGCTCCGGTTCACTAGGCAGCGGCGATGCGTGCATCCTGCCGCGTCCTCGACAAGGCTGACCTCTTGCGCGCCTCGATGACGGCTCCCCGCAACCAACAGACACGCTCAAGAAGCAAACCAAGCAGCAGCAGGAGGAGTACAACAGGCTGAGCGATGAGCTGGCCAAGGCCACTGGCAACGTCTCGACCAAGAAGGACTAAGGTTCTCCTTTCGAGGGTCGTTCTGCTGCGTTGAGAATTAATTGCGCCTGGCGGCGACGGCGACGGTCGAGTCGAGTCGAGTCGATGCGCAGGGAGGATGTAGCAGGCTGCGCAGGTAGATTGGAGTGAAAGGTTGATGCTGGCGGCGGTAGCAGAGGCGGCTTGCGAGCGTGCGAGCGTCTCATGTCGATCTTCGCAAAAGGAATGAGAGCAATCTTTTTTATCTCGCTCGACGAGGGTGTGCGAGTGATGCGAGTCGGTGCCGCTGCGGTGGAAAGAGTAGTAGCAGTGAGGGGCGGCGACGAAGACGAGGCGGGGTGTCATCTAGGAAGATTGGGTCGGTAGCTGAGCGTGAGCGTGAGCGGGAGCGGGAGCGTGGTCGGCTCCCGATGGGGGGCCCGATGGGGGCGACAGCGGCAGCGTGGCCTCCACACGCGGCCGGGGGGCGGCCTGGCAGACAGGAGGAAGGCAAACCGACAGGGCAGACCAGACGACCGCACGGGCTCAGTCGAATCGACTTGCCTGCCAAAGCGGCGTGCGTCGGTCGGTCGGTCCGTCGAGCTG